TAGATCTATTTAAAGTATCTCCAGTTAAGTCCTCCAGAGTTTCTATGACTTTCCCTTATATAAAGAAATTAGTGATTTCTCAGAAGGAGATTATTTTGTATCAAAGAGAGGAACTCTTAAATAATAAATCAAAATCCAAAAAAAATAATATCCATTAAAATACAGTAATTATCCATGTTAGGATAAATAAATAAATAAATGAATACACTTACAATTAAACAGTGTATTTATAACTATAAATTAATATAGCACTCTACCAGACAATTCATTTAAGGATGGTAGAGTTCAACTTGAATGTATATTTATCCAAACATTCTATAAATAGAAAATAAACAAAAGTTAAAAGATATAGTAAGTATTTAACATATAAAAAATCACATTATGATTATTTTTATTGTTCTATCAAGCATACACCAAAGACTATCAAATTTTAATTCATATCTAGAAAAAAAAATGAATGTGTATAAACATATATAAAGCATATATATAAAAAGAGTTTTAAACTTTACAATGATGACATAATTATTAGAGATAAATTATTCTTTCAAAGTTCCAAAAAGAAGAAAAGTCAACATACTTTAAAATTCTGTGTAGACAAACTTGTAGATATAGATATATATAAAATCCACATTATTTAAAGTATGTGTATCATTTATCATGATATTTTGCAAATAAAACTGATCTTCAATTAATTACAAAGAATGCAAATTCATCTTATGGTTTATAAAAATGTCTTCCTCACTTGTGAAAAAAGTAAATATGTATTAGTTCACCTTAATTGGCAGCTTCATATATAATATAATGGATATCTGATGAAAATCTGCAAAGGCTATCAGCTTGAGGTGGATATATGCTAGGATTGATATGACAGTATTCATAATAATAATCAATAGTGCTCAATTCTTTATTTCATTCTTTAATTTTACAGATAACACAAAGAATGGAGAATTTTAAACTTTGATTTTATTATGATGAGATTAGTCAAACTTTTTTATATTTAATAATATTAAGAAACAAGAAATGTACCTAGGGTGAAACAAACCAAATTTTAATTTTTAACAAAGATCACAAATGTTAGATTATTTTCTTGTTGAAATGGCACTGTGTGCTATACCAAAAATCTATTAGAGATTTTGAATCTATTATAAAGCTTCATCAAGTTTTGATTAGCATATGGGTTAGTTTGTTGATTTATTTCTTATTTTAATAACCCAAATAAAGCAACATTTAATTGAATAAGATTATTATTACTATTATTATAAATTATTTTGCCTTCTATAGTGTCAGTTAAAATATTATTTATAGTTATATACAAAATCAAAATTTTTTAAAAATAGACAAAGGATTGTAAAATATACAAAGACATATTTGAATATACTGCATTTTCTTCTAGTTTTTATGTAAATAATCTCAAATTCTGATTTATTCTATGCAAAAAAAGTAATCATTCAAATGCAACACTTTGAATCAAAAAAAGCAAAAAATTTTAAGAAATTTGAAGAAAATGTCTTGTCTGACTTGAATCCATTTTGGATGAAATTAAGCACTTAATAATCCACTTTTACAATGGGTATTTATGTCCTGGATTATGATTTAAAACCTTTCATAGAATGGTTTTCTATTTTCACAATTTTGATAATTACTAGGTCTTTAAAAATCCATATATTATTCATGTACTTATAAAATTGCAAAATAAAATTTCAAGATTATATTAATCATGTCATGAAAGTATTATAAAAACACTTTGAAGACTACTACATTAGATTATAAATGATACTGTATAAATTAAAATTATCTCCCAAATATGGTTGTATTAAAAAGTTTTATTGATAACTATAGAAGTAGACTCTAAATTGAATATTCTGTAATCTATTTTTCTAGCAGAGATAATACTAATAGTACTTCCATAATTCTCTTGATTCTGGATAGAAGAAAATAATGTAATTCCATTATAAGAAGTAAGAATTGATGACATAGATCAATTCTATTTGCATTGAATGATGGAAAAAAGATTGTCAAAATATTAAAAGTAAAAGAAATGTTCTGAGAAAAAATGGAAAATATCATTTGTGTGAAGATACCTGACTGAAAAGATATGAAAATACTAAATTTTTTTTAAAAAAATATCCATATAAAAGACAAAAACCAGTATTCATACCAATCACATGTCAAATACAAAAGATATACCATACTGAAAAGGAATTCCGATTTTAACTGATTTATAATATAGGATGCAATAGGACAGTTGATTTTTACGATTTTAGCTGATCTATAATATAGGAATTCCAATTTTTAATATTGGAATTACCATTCGGTACAGTGATTCTTTTGTATTGACTAGTGAATTAATGAATGTGAAAAAGAAAAATTATTATATAACTGAGAATTTCCCAAAACAATATTATTATGAGCATCCATCATCTTTCTAAAGAATTTGAAGTTTTGGTTTAAACATTACTGTACGAAACAACAGATACAATCACTAAAAGATCCAACATGGATAGTATATTGTCAAAAGAGAATTTATTATGAAAGGATTCAATATTTGCACAGAAATGTTTGCAATTTAAAGAGAAGTCAACACAACATTGAAACACTCCACTTGGCTGACTAAGTGGTTGCCATTCTTCATGAAACAAACACAATACAAACCCCTTAATGAAAAAGTATTTAATAAAAATTAGCATCAAAGGAATATGAAGTATATGGATTCAAAAAGAGATGGCAACATATTATCTTTATGGGTTTTTTACAAATATACACTCACTGGCAATTTTTAAAAATAAATCATTTTGGTTACTCTATATAAAACATTTTTTTCTAATTAATTAAATTGTATTTCATATATTAAGTGACCTTGTAGCTAAGATTAAATTATATGTTATATAATTTTTATATTAAAATTAATAGAATTATGAATGTTTCAATTTTGATATAAAATTTTAATATTTTTTTTTATTTGGTAAAAATATCAATGGATATAAAAACTAAATGCCAACCATCTCATAAAGAGTTGTAGCCCAATATAATATCTACAACTTTAATTAATATTGTTTTTTATAATAGTTACTAGTTAAATTTTAAACTTTGTTTAGGCATAAATTGAAACTATCGTAATGTATTAAAATAAAAAATAATTTAACAATAAATTTTAATAATTGCAATATATAAATATATCTTTTTACCTTATAAACTATCAAAAATGATATTAAATAACCTTAAACTAGAGAATTTATTCCATCATCTGGACCTGTTCCTTAAGAATTAACGGAATAATTCACAATTGAACATTTCTCAATTCTTAAAGGAATATGTCTACAAATTTTACAGATGATGTAATACATTCCTAGTTTAAGGTTACTTAATATCATTTATGATGGTCGATAAGAAAAAAAATACTTTTATATGTTTCAACGATCAACGATTATGTTAAATTCTATTTAAGAACATTTTTTACATCTTTTTTAAAAATAATTAATCGTCGATCGTCACAACAATAAAAGTATTTTTTTTTATTTAAGAACTATTAAAAATGATATTAAGTAACCTTAAATAGAGAATTTAATGCATCATCTGTAAAATTTGCAGACCTGTTCCTTTAGAATTGAAGGAATAGTTGGTTACCATTTTATCATTTCTTAAGAAGTAAACGTATCTGCAAAATTTTACTTATAATGGTCCATAAGTCAAAAAATACTTTTATATGTTGCAACAATCGACGATTATGTTAAATTTTATTAAGAACAATTTTTTGCATCTTTTTTAAAAACAATTGTTAACATTAATCGTCGATCATCTCAACATATAAAAGCGTTTTTCACTTAAAAACTATTAAAAACGACATAAAGTAGCCTTACACAAGAGAATGTAGTGCATAATCTGTAAAAGTTACAGACATATTGCTTAAGAATGATAACTGATTTAATTTAAAAATTCAAATTTCAATTATTCTTTCAATTCTTAAGAAATAGATCTGCAAATTTTACAGACGATGCACTACATTCTCTAGTGTAAAGTTATTAAATATCGTTTTTAATAGTTTTATATTTGTAACGATCGAAGATTAATGTTTTTAAAAAAAGATGCAAAAAATTGTTCTTAAACATAATTTTCGAACATATAAAAGTGTTTTTTTTTAAAGTTCAATGGTCAATTATTCCTTCAATTCTTAAGGATCAGGTCTGCAAATTTTACAGATGATGCATTACGTTCTCTAGTATAAGATTACTTATTATAGTTTTCAATGGTTCTCAAATGAAAAAAAATACTTTTATATGTTGTGACGATCGAAGATTATTGTTAATAATTACGTATTTTAAAAAGATGCATCTTAAATAGAATTTAATATAATCGTAATCGTGATCATTGCAACATATAAAAGTATTTTTTGACTTATGAACCATCATGAATAATATTAAGTAACCTTAAACTTGAGAATGTAGTGCACCATCAGCAAAATTTGCAGACATATTCCTTAAGAATTAAGAAAATGGTAACCGGTTTAATTTAAAAGATCAATTATCAATTATTTCTTTAATTCTTAAGGAACAGGTCTGTAAATTTTACAGATGATGCATTAAATTCTCTAGCTCAAGGATAGTTAATATCATTATTGATAGTTAATAAGGTAAAAAGAACCGTTTATATGTTTATATAGAGTAACCAAAATAATTTAGTTTTAAAAATTGCCAAGTGTCTCTATACTTTTTATCAGTGAGTGTATTTTTAATTTAGGACAAATAAATTATCAGCAGAAGAAAACTCAACACAACATAGATTAAAATCAAAACGAATAGATTTTATAATTTTCCTTTAAATGTAGTGCTACATTTGTTAAGAAAAGTGTATATTAAAAATCACCAGTATGAGAGTATTACATAGTATCATATCGTACATAATTTATTAAATCTTTATTTATTTTTATTTTTATTTTTTTAATAATTTACTTTTTAATTTTTATTAATAAAACATTACTACAGTATAAATGTACAAAAAAAACATCAAAAATCCTGGTACCTAAATTTTTTATCCTTTATAATACTATTCATACCTTTATTTATTAAACTATGTCTTAATGATATTTCTGCATCTTCGATTAATTTCATAGCATCAAATCGAGGTTTTGTTTTTCCTTTCTTATTACCACTTCCTTCTTCTACTACTTTATCTTCATCATCATCATCTGAAAGATCATATTGAATTTCTTTCTTTCTTGTTTGATTCACTAATGCTTGTAATATTCTCTTAAAATTTCCAATTCTGGTGTACACCAACTTCCTGGTACCTGTATTATCTATACGTAATACTAATAAATCTCTGAAGCTCAATTGACATAAATCTTGCCATTTCATTCCATAAAAGTATGGAACTAATTTTCCAAGTCCGTCGCCAAGTGAATGAAGGAAACATTCAGTATCTAATAAATTTAATAAAACTTTTTTATTAATTATTTTATATTATTTATTACCATTTATTAATTATTTTAATAAATCTTTCCTACCATTCAAAACTCCCATATCAATATGTCCATACCAATCTTCTTCTAAATCATTCTCCCCTTTGACTAGAGCTAAATTAGAGAAATCTATTGCAGGAAGTCTTATTTTTCTTTCTTTTGCCTAATAAAAAATTATAATTATTAAACCAAATTGATTTTTATTATGTAATGTATTTCAATTATATTATAATGTATCTCGACAATATTGTATTATATTGAATTTAAAATTTACCAAAAATTTCCTAACAGAATAAAAATGTCTTAACAATCTCTTTCTCAAATGCCAATTGGTTATACCCGAAGTCTCCAAATCATGCCATGAAAATTCTATTATTTCTCGCCATCCTAAACCTTCGAAATAAGGTGCAAGAGGTTTCAGACCCAATCCATTGAGCCAAGATGGAAAATCTATTATTTAAATATTTAAATTAAAAAATATATACAAAACAAATGTTAAATTATATAATCATAACATCAAAAAAAAAAAGAATTTAACTGAAAAAAAAATTTTTTACCTTCCAATAATGCAAAATTAATCTGACAATAATTTTTGTTATAATAATCCTTATAACCTTCCATCACAATCTGTATTTCATCTTTATTCAGTTTTGGGCTTATATGAGATTTCCTCTTTTTTTTTGAAGATGAATTTTTAGAATTTTCAGAATTTTCAACGACAACGCCATCACCACTTTCAATAACTTTTTCATCATTCTCAACAACATTCTCAGTTTCTTCAAAAATTTCGGGCAAATCAGTAACATAAGAAGTATATCCAGTATCTTCGAATAAACTTAAATCATCCACTTCAGTCTGCTCTTCTTTTTCTTCTTTTTTAATAACTTTTATATTATCTCTCATAACCGCAGAATAAATATTACTTTTTCGGAAATCATTATTATCATTATCGTCTGTTTTATTCAATTTCTTATTATCTCTTGTAACTGGAAAATATATATTACTTCGAAAATTATTATTATTATATTTATTATCTGGTTTATTCATATTATTAGATGGTTTATTCAATTTATTCTTGTTACTAAATCTATGAAATTTACTAAGTTCATATTTATCATATTTATTTCTATTTGGACTTGACATTGGAGAAGATTTGAAATTACTATTTGACATTGGAGAAGGTTTGAAATTACTATTTGACATTGGAGGAGGTCTGAAATTACTATTCGACATTGGAGGAGGCCGGAAATTACTATTTGAGATTGGAGGAGGTCGGAAATTACTATTTGACAGTGGAGGAGGTCTGAAATTACTATTTGACATTGGAGGCTTGAAATTACTATTTGAAGGTTTGAAATTACTATTTGATATTGTAGGAGGTTTGAATTTATTGTTTGACATTGAAGGAGGTTTGAAATTACTATTTGACATTGAAGGAGGTTTGAAATTACTATTTGACATTGGAGGAGGTTTGAAAGTTCGGAAATTACTATTTGACACGATAGGAAATTTTGAAGAAGAATAAAGAACTTTTAAATTTGATAATCGTTGAGCTTTTATCTTTATTCTAAGAAAATTATTCCGCATTCGATTATATGTTATCATTCTGCTTTATATCTTCGATTATGGCAATTTTCTTTTTTTAAAAATAATAATAATAATAAAAATAATAATCTCTGGACTGATATAGTGTAGTAGTAAAATAATAAGATTTTTTTTAATAAATCGCATATAAGTCACATGAATTAATGTGGGACAAAAAAATTTAAAAGATTATCATAGATCTTTTTTTAAATATTTTTTTCAAGTCTGAAAATTGGTTGATCTGAATAAGAATATTTCATATAATTAAAAAAAATTTTTTCTTTAAATAATCATAGGATTCATTGAATATTTGAAATACATATTAATTCAAAGCAAAATAAAATAAAATAAAAATGTTATCCTCAGTTCGTCTTGCTTTTAAGGTGGTGAAACCTACGACACCTGTCGTTTCAAAATTCTTTTCGTTAAATAAATTTTCACAAATCAAGTCTTTTCAAACCGTTCAAAAAAATCTTTTTTCGAATTTATCCACTACTCGTTCACTTGTAAATAATAATAATTTTATCAAACCTGGAATTATCCATTTTAAAAATCACTTGGCAACTGTAGCTGATACTCCATCATCTGATGGAAAATTATCAATTGAAGAATTAGATAAACTCTTTGCAAGTGAAAAAGAATTTTATCGAACAAATTTTTTGCAAGTTAATTTAGAATTATTAGAAGGTTGATTATGTCATTATATTTATACGTTATATATATATATATCTACTTAAATATACCGTATTAATTTGTGATCTATTTTATATATTATATATATTTATTAGATTTTCCAAAATGGATTGAAACTCTCGGCCTTAAAGCTTGCGTACCTTTCTTCGAAGGAATGACATGGCAAGATGCCATAAAAATGGATTCAAATGCTTTAAAAGAGAAGGGATGCGAATCTTTTTTTGTTCGCAGTAGATTAAGGAGACACTTTGATATGGTTAAATGCAAAATTGTACGTATAAAAAATGAAATAAATAAAAAAAAAAAATTTTTTTTTCTTACAATAAATAATTATCTATAATAATACCAATTTTTTTATATTTTGCTAGGAGGGAAGAGAACATAATCCGGCTAGTTCTGAATGGAAAGAACATATAGGAGAAGAAAATGCGGAAGCAACTTTTGACGTTAAACTGTTGGATGGTGACTCATTAATTTTCTTTCTTTCTCTCTCCTTTTCTTTTATTTTTCTAAAAAAATCATCATTCCAATTAAAATATTATTTCATTTTATTTAGATCTTCCTTCTTTCCTTCACTCATTGGGTGGCTCTTTAGGGATATTCGCTGCTTACTTCCATGGTAAAACGTGGAAAGAAATTGTTAGAATGACTGATCCTGAATTCAAAGAAATAGGAATTAAGGGAAGATCAGTTAGAAGATCAATGAGGAAAAGACTTCGTGTATTTAAAAAATTTGCAGTAAGTTTTTAATCGTCTATTATTATTATATTTCGTTGTTTTTCCAATTTATTGAATTTAATTGAAATTTAATTGAAAATTTAAAATTGAAATTATTTCGAAATACATTAATTTACTAGGTTTCGAAAGGTCTTATTGAAGATTTCCCAGATCCTGAACCTCCCACTCCCGAAGTAGAAACTGTGAAAGCACAAGCACAATCTTATAGTATTTAAAAAAAAAAAAAGATCTATATATATTTAAAACGTATTCTTTCACGTCTTCGTGATTTTTATACAAAAAAATTATATTTTTATTTTTATTTTGATATTTATTAAATAAACACTTCTAGTTAATTTTATTTTTTTTATCATCATCACTGTAATTAATAAAAATTTGATTCGATATTTATATTGTGATATGGGGACTTAAGATTTTACATGATTCATTTTTATGTGTAATCGAAAAAAAAAAATAAATTATGATTTTCATCAACCCGTCAATTTGTGATTCGCGCTTGAATCTTGAGAGACAAGTGAGTAATAATATAATTGAAGCGTGAACAAATCCCATGATTACTCACCTTTTTACATTTTCTAGTTTTAATTCTTCATTAGAATAGATATTAAAAAACAAATAGTCTATGTTCCTTCCAAAATAAACGAACACACGGATAACGAAAAGTAACCATCCAACCAAAGAGGAAGGGCACCTACCCGTCGTTGCTCCAGTTGGCTGCGTAGTTTCTCCTATCAATTTGAGATATTGAAAGTGAGACAAAAGGTGATTTTCGAGTTTATGTTACGTTTACTACATTTATCTGGAAACCATCACTTCTCTTTCTCAATAAGAAAGCTTCATAAAGAACCGAACCGGAGAAAGGATTGATCCTATGCATGCATGAAAGCGAGATATAATTAAAATATATTATTAATCATTATTATAATCATTTATAATAATTTGTTGTAATAATCGAATCGTATCGTAAAAGGGAGATATAAAAGTAAAAACGATTAATAATTTAATGTCATGAGATTTTTAAACATTTGAATTGCGTGTGTATATTCAACTTTATAGATACTTGTAATATTACCTAAAGTTCGAATTATCAAAATGCGAATATATGGTATGATCACTTTTCTCGATAAATGGACGTATAAAAATGGAATAGACGCCACAAAATATGGAATTATAAAAATAAATACTTCATTTGTTATAATGCACTTTTTTTTCAGTTACAAAGCACGTGTGGTGTTCCGGATTGGGCGTATATAATCCATCCGATGGCGAGGCGTTATAAAATACACGTGATCTTTTCCACGGGCAATCATAAATTTTAAGGATAAGGATTCTGATTTGATAGTCTTTTAAATTGGAACATTAAGCATCGCAAGCTTTATAAATTAGATTAGTGGAATCAACGACATTCATAAGATTTGGCTTTTATTCGATTTATTAAAGCACTAAAATTAAATTCGACCGCCATAAAAAAATCATCGAATTTCAGGAAAGTTGGATTAAATGTAATTGGTATTTGATGAGTATATTATATGTTTATTGGTGAGCATTTAATTTTACAGGGATTTTCAGACTTTTCAATAAATTCAATAAATGGTTTAAAAAAAATTTCTCTTAATATTATTATATTTTAATTTAAAATAAATGACTTTTTTTTTCTGAAAGCCATAATCTTCAGTTTCAAAACCGATGTAATTTTAATTATAATAGAAAACAAAAGTCATAATTTAGTTATATAAATAAATGAGATACATAAATAATAATGATAAAATGAAATAAAAATTCTTATCCTTTTCTGACAATTTTAAATACTTCATAATTGATGATTGAAAAATATGATGATGATGATCTTATAGGTCTTTGATAATCATAGCCATAACTTCCGCAACCATTATCTAAAGTGAAATTTGACCTAAAATTATACATCCAAAAATCACCAAAATGTGGTCCATAATATTTTTGTTTATCTTTGGATATATTAAGAATTGCATATTGGGGAATTTTTACTCTGCTAATAATTGAAAATGGAACATTACCATTTTTTAATGAGAAAATAAAACTCTCTTTTGTTTCTATCCATTCATCATTAAGATTACTGTTATCCCATGCTAAAGGATTATAACCTCCAATAATTTCATCTGTTCCTGCAACTTTAACTAAAACAACTGTACAAGAGTGACCACGGCAGATATTCCAAAATGTTTGTGGTGCAAATCCATCCCGAGTTCCACGTAAGATTAATTCAAATTTATATGGAAAATTTGTTAAAGTATATGCGGTTTCCTGTGTTTTACGATCAATCCATGTAGAAATTTTTGCTGCATGTTCTTTAAAAATGATAGTCGAAAAAGATTCTTCGGTACGAGGTGGTAATTCTGTAACCAAAATTGATCTTGCTGGTAAAATAATTGATTTTACTGGTTGGTCAGGAATTAATAGATGCTGATTTATATCTTCCCAAAGTTGTTTATCAAGAATCTTTTTATATGGTTTAATTTTATCAAGCACTTCAATTTTTGAAAGGTGAAAATAACGAATATTCGGTAAAGATTGTTGTAAAATAGTCTTTAGAGTAAGGAAATTTTCATTGGTCCAATCATCAAAGTTTGTAGGAAGAGACGTTTGAGCAATTCCCCACTTGATGACATAGTCCCAAATTTTCACTTCTTCCATTTGCAAATCATTTCGCTTGAGAAGAGAGACCAGTGCAGATTCTTCGAGAGAAGTAAAATCTTCAGCATCAAAAATAAGATTTGGATACTTTACAACAATATCATTATAGAACTTTTTTAATTTTTTAAAATTGTTTCGACTAAAAATAGAATGATAAATAAAAGAAAAATGAGTTTTCAACCAGGAGCCTTTGGTTTCAATAAGAAGAGTTTCTAATTTGTTGGTTAATTCCCCAAGTTCAAATTCATCAGCAGTTAACATTAAATCATAAAAAAATCTAGTTTCACAATTTTCTAAATCAACAATTCCTCCATAGATATATCTAAAAAAACAATAAATAATAAATACCAAACGAAATAATAAATAATAGTAATAAAAAACAAATTTTGTAATAATTTTCATATTTATTATTGAAAATAACTTACTGAAGAATAACATTAAAAATTTGAGCAGAAATGCTTGACTTGATGATTATTTTAATATTATTCTCATTTGGTTGAATATTTTTTAATTCTCTTTGGAAATAAGATGATTGGAATTTCAATACGTTAGAATGTGCTGTAAAAGATTTTTTCTTATTTTCGACTTTAATTATTACATTATAATCCTCTTTATCATTAAGAAGTTCAATAAGATCTTGAGATGACTTGTCAAAAATTTTTAAAGACATTTTCTTTTTTGTAAATTGAGTTAAATAAAGTGGTTTCAACCATTTTATCATTCGTTTTAATTATAGTGTAACAAATAGAATAAAATGAATTTGGATAAATGGATAATCATATTAATCCCTTCATTGGAGCATGAATCGGAGAAAAAAAACCAAACTACGAAAGAATTAAAAACATAATATATATTCAGCTTTTTAAAGAGATGCTGAATGAAGACATACAATAAAATATTTTAAAAATAATATGAATTCTTGCCTTAAATAGCAACTCTTCAATTAAAACTACTTCTAATACAATAGAATTTCTACTAATTAGCGAGAGTTCCAGTTAAAGCTCCTAGTCGTTCGGTTTTTTTTCGGTAAGTTTTTTTTTCTCTCCATTGTCTCCGTAGCCATCCTAAAAAAAGCAACAAAAAAAAATGGCAATCAATCTTTTTAATCTATTTGTCTTACTTTCTTTTGTCATCGCCATTGCCATTTTTTCGTCGTAATTTTTCGTCCTCATTTTTTTTGGTGCTGTTTTTTAGTTGTTGTCAAGAACCGTTGTTATTTTGTTATAAAATGGATTAGTTAATATTATAGATTCAAAATCTGACTATATATAAATATTATTTTTTTTTTAATTTACAAGAATAACAGTGGTGTGATGTATTGCATTTTACAATAATTATACCTTTATATTACAATTTTATTATAATAATTAAGTAAAACTATCTAACAGAAAAAAACCTTGATATTTTTTAATTTTAGTTCCAGTTTTTAAATTTTGTTCGGTTCCAGTTCAATATTAGAACCGAACTGAATCATAGATAGCAAATGACTTGGCCATTTGCCTATTTTGAAATGACCCTAAAATGGCCTTTAAATGACATTTGGGTCATTTTACAAATGACAAATGACCAAATGACCAAGTCATTTAAAAATTATGAAATGATCAATGAAAGATTTTCGCATTTTTTTTACATTTTTTCGACTTCGCTCGTGATTTTCAAAGCATAAAACGATTTTCTACTAAGATATTTCTAATTTAGAAAAAAGGACTTGTTCTTGCTACAAAATGATATGTATTTGATCTTAAATTCAAACGTCTGTGGCAGAATTTTTCACAGACGTTCGAATTTAAACGCAAATAACTCCGTGAGTATTGATGCTACCGGAATGACGCACATATAATTTTGTGACACTTTCTTTCTATATTAGAAACACATTAGTAGAAAGTCGCTGTACACTTCGCAAATTGCGAGAGAAGTCGAAAAAAATGTAAAAAAAAATAATAAAAAAAGTGATAATCTCAACGTTTTTGACTTCGCTTGTAATTTGTGAAGCGTATTTGTAATCATGTGTTGTACCTTTTCGAATATCCATTTTTTATCATAAATTAGAATAGAAAACCATATTTGTCATCCATAAACCAAATGCATGGTCAAAAAACAAATATAGTTATGATTTTAAATGACAACACTGATAACAAGAAGAATTGATGAAGAATACTTTTAGAATTAAGCAAATAGTGAAAATAAAAAGTAAAGACGTAAAATTGAAGGAAATTAATGTGGATGATATTCAAATGATTAAATAATAATATTAAATAAAGAATATTTTTGAAAATACAAAATGGATATGAAACTAACTTCTCTGACAAAATTTAATTTTAAATATAAAATACAAATTTTAATATATAATTAAAGAAATAAGATTGTAACTTTCATACCTTTGCAAATTAAAACTTCGATCATGATTCTGGTTAATGGTTAATCAGTGAAGCAATTAGCGTAAATCAAAAATAAATTTAGTTTCACAATTTTCTAAATTAACATTCCTCCTGTATGTTCACGTCTGGACAGCACACTACAGAATTACAACTACAAAATCGTGAGT